GGAAAAAGTGACAGTGCATTGAGGAAGTGCAGTTTGGGCTGAAAAAACAAAAGAATCAAACTGTAGAGTCTTTTGAAACCACACAACAAAAATGGAGGAATTTTTCACCCAAAATTCAAATACCCATGTATCATATGTCATTTCCATGAAACGCTTTCTGGCCAGCCCTGTTTCCACAGCCATAAAAAGGCCCAACACGGACTGTGAAGCATCTGTCCTTGAGTTTAACAGAGAAGCACAAGCCTATGCCAGCACCTCTTCCAACAGTGAGCTTCTGCTCAGATGTACGTAAAATGCACATTTGTGTCATTCACCTGTTTTGTTGCCTAAAGGCCTCCTGAAAACTGAAATCAAAACCAGCGTTGGTAAATGGGAAATAAAAAGCCAGGTGTCCTTAACTCTCCAGACAAGCTCAAGCTCTGTAATGGTATCTCCTATCACTCCCAGCAAAAATACACTGGAAATAAATTGACACTTTTCTGCAGGCTGGTGCAATTGTGAAACTATAGCTCATAGTCATTTATTTCTGCTTTGCTTTGAGTCATTCATTTGGCACAGCAGATCAAGCTATTAAATTATTGTATTTTTTTCTTCTGTAAAGGCACCCTGAGATGTCTTGATATGATAATGCTTCCTGAAACCAATGCTAACTGATAATCATTTCTTAGTTTCATCACAAGCCTGAACTCATACTCAGGTAGCACCAAGACAGGACACTTGAGGACGGTTTCACCTTTCCACGCTTTCCATACAGTCACAAATGAACACCAAAATATTTTCTTAGATGAAGCTCCTCCTAGAACACTGTGATTGACATCTTATTTCTGATCATTCGAAACTTAAACAAACTATTTTCCCCACAATTTGAACTTGGTTGTTGTGGAGTCTCAAAGTTGGAACTGCTTGATAACAGCTTTACTTTGGGACCAAATTGTCAAGCTATATATAAGATGGCACTGGACAGTTATTCTTCCCGAGGCAGATCTAATGGTAAACAGAGAGATCCTGACAATCACAAAAGATTTAGCTGTATGAAATACTTAATTCAAGTTGTTTACATGTTTTTCCACAACCCATGGGCTTCATTTTCTTATCACTCTGTCTACTCGCTTCTTCCCCACTTAATACATAAAGCTGACAGTTCAACTGCCCAGCAGTCCACGCTACCTATTTGATTTTTGTCTATCTGAGGTCACTGAAGGAGCTAAGAGCAGAATGTTTTCCTGCAGTGCTCACTCAGACATGCTACAAAATGGTCAGAAAGCATTACCACCAGGAGAAAGCAGCAAACCCAAGCTGACAGATTCTCCATCATGACATCTGGGAAACACAACCAAGAAGATACTCCCTTCAAGAGGAAGTGAAGTTTTCTTCTGCAGAAATAACGTCACCAGCTGTCCTGATCACAAGTTTAGCCAACATTCCACCTCATCCAACACACCAATTTCATGGCAAAGCAGTATTCTTGTGGAAGCACTAACAAAGGACTGAAGGAAGCAGAGATACATGTGATGGAAAGCACGCTAGCAGATCAGGAGCCTGGAATTAACTAGGAAGAACCAAAATAGCACAGAGAACTGACTAAAGTACCATTCTTGTGAGCTGGCCACATCATGAAATAGTAAATCATGGCCATGAGATTCTTGGGCAAGACAGAACCTGTTGTCTAATGCCAACAGAAATCAGTGATAAAATTTTTGTCACATCACTGATCTACCTGAAACTTTCATCTGCTTAACTGTACTGCTATAGAATAGGTTTAAATGCTCGAGTATTTCCATGCAAAGGCGAAACAAATTCCTCCCATACATGGCAACAACAGGTATTTTCATATATCATTTCCATCAAGAAGCTGATGTTCTCTTGCACCTGCCCTGTCACTTTAGCCCTGCAAATGGACAGAATTGACAGTATTTCAGCTTTTGTTCCATTATTCTATCAACTAAGAAACCCTAGTGAACAAATTAACACTTAACAGCTGTACTTACTGCACAAGTTACAAATCACAATTCAAATCCCAATCTGATTTTTTTATACTCACAGAATCACAGAATGGCCAGGGTTGGAAGGGACCTCAAGGATCATGAATCTCCCAACCCCCTTGCCAGAGGCTGGGCCACCAGCCTCCACATTTCATACCAGCCCAGGCTGCCCAGGGCCCCATCCAAACTGGCCTTGAACACCTCCAGGGATGGACGGGGCATCCACAACCTCTATGGGCAGCTGTTCCAGCACCTCACCACTCTCATAGTAAAGAACTTCCCCCTGACATCCAACTTAAATCTTCCTTCCCTCAATTTAAAACCATCTCCCCTTGTCTTGCTGTTATCTACCCTGTCATTGAGTTGACTCCCTTCCTGTTTATAGGCTCCCTACTACTGCAGACCAACAGGATTACAGAAGAGAGATTACAGCTGGCTGTCAACCTCTGGCAGTGACAATGCACACTGTTCCACGCAACAGAGCCTGCAACATTGCAAGGATGATGTGCACAGTGCAGGGCAGCCAGCATGGCTATGCCACAGCTGCCATTCTGTTGCCACAGGAATACCCCCCAGCTACTATCTAAAAGAGCAACATGGCTGAGGACTCACGATTATCTCATTTGCAACAGCTCTTTTTGCTTGGAACCACACTATAACATCATCCCCATAGTCATAACCCACAAGCACCTTGGCATCGAGGCTCAACATTCATTGCATTACTCAAGAGGCATTAAATTCCTTACGGTATTGACAGATATTAGTATGATAAATCTCTACACACCAGCAGGAGCCACAAAGTTCTTCTGAACTTTGAAGACCAGATTTTTCTAGTTTTTAAACAAATACTTTGAATCTGTCTGGAAATACGCACAAGAACATACACATCAGAATTTAAATAGCAGGGGGTAGATGTTTTTTCCAGAAGTTACAGTGCAACTAGTTGGAAAAATATATTGCAACTGGCGGCTGATAAATTAAAACCAGCTAACAAAACATAAAACAACTCAGACTCTTCTCCGTGTCCATTTCCAGAAAATAATGAACTACTATAATCATAATGATAAAAAGTGGGGGTTTTTTCATCCTTGTTTCTTAGAATTTGGTGCCACCTGAGAATGCAAAACCTCTGTTGCCTACTTATTCATAAAGAAATACACCCCAGGTAATGGCCAAAGCAAGCCTGTTCTCACTGTCTAGCAAATACAGCCCTGGTGAGGCACTGGAGAGAGGTCAAAAATGTTAGAGGATGATTCTGCTCAACACAGACTCACAGATCACATTTTACACCTCAGCCTGAAGTATTTGTATGACCCTATCAGACACTCCATCACCAATCCTAGCAAAAATAGTGACAGCCAGATCAAGCTGTGATGCTTCCTAAATGCCCAGTAAATATTTGTTAATCTAAGCTGCTGTTTTGTTTCTTCCTTGAAAAATACATAGTGAATTTGAAAAGATGGTCACAGCATGCTCTAGAGAATTCAAACCTTGAAATCAAATGGAAGGAGTTTCAATCATAATTATTTTTAAAATAATCAATAACATAGAGAAACCTACTCAAAATATACACATGCCTGAAGTTCAATATGAAATGTAATTAAATTAGGGTAGGGGAAAAAAACTAAAAACAACAACACATATCTTGAGCAGTACAAAATTTGAACTGCTCTAGGTTAAGCAACAAAGCCCTGGAATCTTTTCAGCTTTACCTTTTCCACACTTCCATTGGGAAAAGGTTTCAATCTCCGTGCACAAACATTGCTGCATGCAGGAACTAGAGGAGGCTTGCCAGCTGCAGCTCAGAGTAGATTCACTACACACTGCAGTGCCCACCTGCAGTCACAAATGAGTTTCTGCCAGCGTCTTTCGGTCCTAGTTCAGTACCATGGGGAGATCCAGGAGGTTGGAAAAGCATGGAAGCAGCTGCCTTACCATCCTGCATGGGCTCCCTTACAGGTTGTATCCAAACAAAATCCACAGCAAAGCTTATGCAGAGCCCAGGGCTAAGAGTGTTGATGTTCTCATTGGAGCAATGCCTCCATTGTCATCCCAAGTCAAGCTTCTCTTTTGTCCTGTTTACCATCTGAGAGAGCTGAAGAACTGAACTGCAGTGACCTATCCTACAAACTACTATTTGACCTCTCCGGTGTGTAAAGTAACTATGACTTCTTGCATCATAGGGCACTTGTCCACTACATCGCATACACAAATCAGGCATGAACTCACAAATCATTCTGTCTTCCACAAAAGAAAGCATTTGCAGCAGAAGTGTTAGACCCTGCTACCTTTACACATGATCCATCCCCAGAAGAAAAAGAAAAGCGCTTCTTCTATATCTATTTCTTTGTAGCTCAACTTTATGGTAACAGCAGGCAATGGCCCCAGCTGATATTAACTTCCATAGTTTCAGCATGGAACTATGACTACCTATGTTTTGAGGGATTTGCCCTTGTTTTGTGGGAAGCAGAAATCGGATAGTTTTCAGTCTCCTAAAGTATCAAATCAAATTCTGCTGGGGAAGACTCAACAAAATAGTGACCATTTTTTCAGTTAGGAATATAAGTATGAAGGCATGCTAAGTTAATGAAGAGAAGATCACATTCAATGGAATAACAATTAATTTAATCACTATAGGAATTAGTGTAAAAGTATCAGACTCAGGACTTACAAGGGACTTCACCTCTAAGTTAACCTGTATTGGGTTAAATGATCTACATAATCTGATTTACTTTCTAAACCATACGTTACAAAATTGTAATCATTAGAAACCAAGAAATACGATCCAAAGCTAATTCAAGAGATCTGCATGAATACTAAAATGTGTCTTTAAATATATGGTATCGTGGCCATAAAAGAAAGCACTCAGTCAGGTCACATCTTCATTCATACCACAGTTTATAGAAGCACATTTGCCCCTACGTCCTATCAATCTAACAGAATGTATTTGCCTATTACACATGCATGCAGTTTCTACATTTAAATAAAATTAGGTTTAAAATGAAATCAAGATCTCACCTGTGAGGAAATATGAGAATGAAGATTGCCCATACATTTTTCATTTCATGATCAGCAACATGTATCTTAATTCGAGTCCCAGAAGTCAGTGTCAGGAGTAGTGGTGGAACTGGTAACTTTCTGGCATCCAACCCAAAGATTTAATCTCCATCGTTTGGCTAATATAATACTCCTCTTTGTTTTTCCTGTGCATGGAGTACAGAGTCCTGTAAATGCAAGAATACAGAACTGCATATTATCTGACATTACTCTGCACAAGGGGAGTAAGCTCAGACTGAAAAGGTAAATTTTGAGTGCCTGATGATGATCTTTAAGGTCTTTTCCAACCTGAGCGATTCTGTGATTCTATTCTATGATTCTGTTCTCCATATATACAAATTTTTCCAACACATCATTTCCTAAAAACATTTTTAAAAACAAAATTTAAGAATTGCACCATATGGAGTCACAATGAATGCGTCTTAAAGTTACCACAAAAGTTTAAACCACTGAAACCAACCATTCCAAGGGAAAATTGCAGCCTACATGGATACAATATATTATAATTATACTAGATGCCAAGCGTAGTAGTGTAATCTGTTTATCCTTAAAACAAACAATCAACTTCCCCCCACACGCACATAAAGAAAGCCATGATTAATGCTTTCCCTATGGAACTCGATCATAGTTTGAGCTTAAAAAGAGCTAGAAAGTTATCAAAATGATTACGGTCAATAAGTGAGAAATGGATGTTAAGTCATGGCCAGTCCAATAGAGATTCACCCCAGGACATGAGATTCTTGACCCACTGCCACCCTACATAGCCTTCAGGCTTTGCAGAACAGAAAACACATCTTTTTTTTCTAGAGTGACAAGCCAAAACACTTTACTTACTGAATTTTTCTGCTTTCAGATAGAATATTTCTAAGTGAAATTATACCTATCTTCATGCACTTACAGAAATAACGTAAAAACTTGTAAGTTCATTGCAGTATTCCTTTGTGCCCTGACTTCCATGAACTTAAAGAGAAGGAATCAGAACCCAGGGGAGAAAGTAAAGAGAAAGTTTAAATGCCTAAAGGAGATAACCAGAAGTAGGTTACTGTCCTACTTTTAATGTATGCATATTAGAAGATGACATTCATGTATGTCTTCCACTACGGATAGCTGGGCAGCTTCTCTTTTAAGTTAAAAACAGACTTTAAGTAGCTGAACTGACTGCGCTACCTATTTGTTGTAGAGCACCCCGTATTTTAAGTGGGAGAAATTTATCTCCCTTGCAATTTCTCTCAAATACACACATGAAGGAGACAGTTTTTTGTTTCCAATTCATGACTATGTGGTAGCTCACAGTAATTCAAGACAGCTGTTTCAGTGTTGTTAGCAGGTACAGCAACATTTAAATATAACTAAGAGCTCAGTAAATACAAACAAGCAGGCTATATTTGATGAAAGGCAATGGTTGTGGAGCAGACACTGCACTCATTAATTGGAAGACATAATTTTAGACTGCTGGCTTTTGTCTCTTAGAATCTGGCAAATGGAATTTGTGAGATATGATCTGAAGTTATGTTTTCTTCCATTCCACTTAGTACACTGGAACATTATTCAGTTAGCACCTGAGAGAGACTGGTTTGACTGATCCAGGTAAACAGAAAGCAGGTAAATCAAGTGATTTATCAACTTATAATCAGCATTTTTCAGCTCCAATATTTTTAGTTAAACCAGACCTTTTCAGCTCTCCTACAATACATCTCATGGTAAGCAGGCACAGCTGGTCTCTGCACCAATAAATCAAATGTTGAAGGAGTAACAAAATATACACAGCTAAGGCAGAGAGAGGACAAAAGATTGTGATTGAAAGAGAAACCGTGCAGTGAACCCAAGAAGTCAATTTAGGGAGTCTTGACATATTTCAGGAATAAATGCCTAGGAAGTGCTCCCACGGGGAAGGCAGTTTTGTCTTAATTTTTGTGTATGTGTGTATGTTGGTACCTCAGCAAATGCTTTACATCAGGCATCGCTGAATGAAAAGGTTGTCTGATGTACAGAAGAGCTGTCATCCTGCAACTTGTGATGGTTGAGGCTCTGTAAGAAGTGGAATCCTAGAGCAGAAAGTTGTGGGGATGCTGGCATACAGCTTGTGCTGACTTCTGCAGAGAGGAAATGCAGCCTCACGTTATACAGGCAGGCTGGTTGAAGTTGCGGTATTGCCACAGAAGCAATGGAAACTGAGAAGGAATCCCAGTTTAATACAGTTTGACTCCCTATATGTTTGTAAGTACTTACATACCATTTTGGAGGGAATTTTAATTGCACAGTATCTTTAAGTCACACAAAAAAGTATCTGAAGCAAATTACACATACATTTCTATGCTACTGGCCAGAAAATATGGAAAAGCATGGGCTAAGTGAACTCAAGACTGACTTGATATAATCCTCTAAGAAGCTAAATGGGAGACCACGATTTGCACTCTTAACACAGCACTTCTTGACGAGGTTCCACAGATGACAGGATAGGAGATTAAGCAGCTTGTACTGAAGAAACATGTTAGACATTAAACTGGCAGACCTCAATACACACCATCTATGAGGCCAGTGGGTAATAATGCCAGAGCTTCCGAAAGAAAGGGCCAAACACTCTTTAACTGTGTTAACTGCTCTAAAGAAACACTGATTGTCACGTTGTGACGTTTTGTTCAACACAAAACTGAGAACATGAATGCCTGCTCTGCCAGAAGTCATTCCCAAGTCATTGGGAGTTGAACAAGTTACAATGAACTGAAAATGATAAAAGCCACCAGCAGAAACCAACTGGAACCATGATATTAGAGCAGGAAGTTGGAGAATCACATTATTGATGAGCTTTTCTGTCAGAATCTTTTAAAGCAAACAAAAATATCAGCAAAAACAAAAACACTATCCAGAATCATATTGTAGAGGACTGATTGCCTTAGATATGTGACATCTTAGACTTCAAGGTTTAGATATCACCTGATGATGTCCCACAGATCCTGAATTGGATTGGTTTTAGCTTAGGAGTATTGCTCCAGAATATGAATCAGACTATTTGCTGGATGTCTTTATACAGCCAAGGTTATTTTGTTTTATGTCTTCATTGTGAATCTGACCTATCCTTTCTGAATACATTCTGAAATGCCATTGTGCTGGGTCAGCAACATCTGTCCCTTTAAACTTCCCGTGATTGCCTGTGAGTCACAACAACAGAGAATAGTTTTCCCTCCAACGAATACTTGAAATAACAGACTGCAAATAAGTTTTTATTGATTATTGCCATAAAAAACTGCAGTGACTTCATAAAGATGATTCAGACTTTAGACAGATGACTTAATGTCGCTACAGAATTCTGCATGAACAGGAATTCAAAATATCTCCTTCTGTGCGATCACACTAAAAAATAATGCTCCAAACTTTTCCAGTTTTGAGCACTGAAGTACTCTTTCTGCTTGTTCACCTCTTCTTGTACTCTTCTAGACAGTTTTTCATTCTGCTGTATGCATCTTCTGCTAACTGTTCAAGCGCTTCTCTGAAGACTGTAATAGAGACACAAAGCTTCTAAGGCTAACATGAGTCACACTGAGATGACCTGAGGCATATGCATCAGCAGCATAGTGGAGTGATGATTCCATCCATCAGGACACCCTTAGGCAGGATAAACTCTGTCTTTATCAAAGTCCTGCCCAACAGCTCAGTACCAGTACCAATGTAGAATGAAACATCGGGACTGACTTGAGGTTTAGCTGTACATAATCTACACGTATAAGTCACCTGGTGAAGTTGAGATACCAGGGCCAAACTGTCTCCTAGGTTTCAGACTTCTGGTGTCTCATTGAATTCTGGTGGCAGTGGCCCAGAGCCTGCTGACAGAGCCCACAAGAATGGCCTTTTCACTCTAAGCTGCTCAGCAAGCCTGGGAAAGCTGACTTAATGCTGCCTCTGACCTAGTACAAATTGACAAGCAGCTCACATATGGCTCACATCAGCCTACGATCTATATAGTCAGAATCTAAAGCTAGCCCCAGGTGTTAAAACCTGTGCCATTTGGGACAGGAATGATGATGGAGTTTAAAGGCAATGGGAATAGAATCAGGCAATTTATTTCCCAAGCAGAATATTTCACCTGGTCAAATGTTTATTCCCTAAGCATTATTTCACTAAAAATCACATAATAATGTTTTAAGTGTACATTACCAGCTGTCTTCCTGTAGGCTGAACGTGCCTGCTCTAAAGCATGGATCCGGCATGGATGATTTTCCCTTCCATATAGTATCTACTTCACAGCTTTTGCATTGCGTGAGACTGCTCTAAAGCCTAGCAAACATTTGTAGCTGGAAATATTACGTGCACCAAGTAATTATGGTGATACTCGTCATTTGTTGAAAGCAGATCATTCATTAGCTACCCAAAATAGCTGAATGGCTCAAGAAACCGCAGCCAACAGTAGCAGAGAAGCCACCAGGTAGTAAAGGAAAGAGCTGTGGTGCCTCAACAAAGATGGAAACTTTCCCATTTACACAGTTACTGTTGCAAAAACTTCACTACTTCTTCCAATTTAAATGCCAAGAATACAGCAAACACCTTACAACCATTCAAACAATGTATTTTGTTTATACTGCTACTATGCAATAAAGTCTATAATTTATCTAATGTAAATACAATACTTCTCATGAAAGTAACTCACAAGCATGGCAAATGTAATGTTCCACTAAAATAGTTCAGTTGGAAGGGACCTAAAAGGTCATTGAATGTGTCTGCCTGAACATTAACCACACCCTCTTCTCTATTCTCACAAATATATTGCTCACTTGGAATCAGTAAAAAACAAATCATTTACTATCAGAAACCACAAAGGTGGATGGTGAAATAAAGTTAGCTGCCCAGAGCTCATAGCATAGCTGGGAATGTGGTTCAGAGTCCACATCTACAGACCTGTTAATTGTATTTGGCAGGCAGGAAGAGGCAAAATGTCACCAAAGTTAGGGTAGAGTCCCAAGTAAGCATTATTGCATATGTTCTCTGTCCATTCTGTGTTTTAGCATCTTCACAGGCTGACATACTGGATGACAGGCTGCTTCATCTTAAATCAGCTTGATGTTGTCTCCATATGCTTCTATCCCTTGAAAATCACTAAGATGTAACTGATTTTGATCCTGCTGAGGCTGGTCAGATTGCTAGGCCTGTGGACGGACTGGTGAGCATCTGAGGGGGACTTCAGTCACATTACTGTTTTGATGTTCTTGGTCACCAGTCTAATCAAATGCATATGCCTCATGAAGCAACCAAGCACGCCTGGATGTTTTCTGAATCGAGAGCCATGATCGCTGATAGTCACTGGACATAAAATAAAAAGCATTCAACGACAGAACAGTATAAGCTACTGAGATGAAGAAAAATCAAATCTAACCCTGGAGGAACTGCTTGGCTTATTTGATTAACTTATGCTCTGTTTTATTTAAGGTTCACACTTAAAAACCTTGCATACAAAGGTGTTGCAACCCTTTGTGCAGTGCAGCGCAGTTCATTTTCCCTGGAAGGAAAATGAACTTACTTTGAGACTTTACATCTTATTTTCTAAGTATGCATTTACATAGTTAATAGCAACTCAGCTGGTTCATGCAAGATGGGCTGTTTCTCTTTCACTTATTTTCAGGCAGTCTTCAAACTCTTTCCTGGGATAGATATAACATATTTGCCACTGCACATATACTACCAGGAGGTATAATTACATACACGTGTGGACAATCAGGAAATTATGAGCCAAATCCATGTCATCACTCATTTACCCTGGTGGGTCCTTCTAGTTGCAGCAACACCTGTCTCAGATTTACGATGAGCAAATCCACATCCACACCACTACCCCCAGTAACACTTTGTCTGTTCAAAGAATAGAGAATGGATGCATATGTATACATGTGTGAGAGCCTAGGTGTTATCTAAGAAAACTGTATTTACATGCTAGATTTATTAGTTAGTACATACATTAGGTATTTACGGGTGGTGATGCAATCAGCTTTACTACAGAGAATAACAAAAATGTTATCATATTAATTTCTATCCCTTTCTTTACAAAAAGCTGGCAAATGACAGTAGATTTCAACAAACGTGTGACCGATTGCAAAGTGCTTCACAGAACCTCCAAATAACCGTAAGGCTAACACTGATCACCAGTATCCTTGATCTTTTTTTTCTGGACAGACACCAGTGTTCCTTCTCCCAGTATTCTTTCATTCCCTCAGAAGCAATAAAAATCCTCCACATTTTGGTTAAAGCATTTAGTTCAAATGAAAAATCATCTCCGTAATAAAGCAAGCGTTACCCAGATTTAAAAAAAAAAATAATCAATCAGCTAGGATTTTTATTAGTTAATCCTGTAACTAATTAAAACTATTGATTGATAACAGACAACACTGCAACAAAGTTATCTCACTCCTAACCCAGCAAAACAATCTTCCTGCTGCACATGTAGATAGTATGCGATGACCTGCTTGCAGATAAGTCTCTAACTGCTGACCAATCTATTTTCACTTAGTGGTAGTATTTCCCCAGCTCAGCAGTTCTGACAGATCACAGCTTTGAGTCTGAGACATTTGTGAACCATCTCTTTGTTAGTCACAAATAGCAAAGTGCATATCGATAAATCACACCCTTTGTCTCCTTCTTTTCCCTCCCCCACACAGTTGCTGCTTTTTCTTGTCAGACCAATCCAGCCTGAGACCTCCTGAATCATCTCTATTAACCTGTGAGAAATTCTAAAGAACAGATTCCACGTAATAGAAAGTGACCTCAAATAATTAACATTTTTGAAGAGGTTTTTACCTGAATTTTATCCAAGATATATAAATCATCATTCATCTTTTCTCTTCCTGGCAGTGCACTTAGACATAGCAAGTCTTAAAATGATGACATCACCATCCCGTGATCCTTCATTATAAGTAATTAAAGCAGTAATATGCCTCTTCTCGTGCACTAGTCATCAAGGAGACTTACTCATACGAATTCTCAGGCATGGTGCACCTGAGGTGAATCGAGAGAGCACAGGACTCAATGTTTTTGGTGAACTGCTGGTAGTTTTGTGTGAATTTATTGCTGCTGAGAGAGCAGCGCATGTTAACATGCAGGGAGACTAAATTCTGCCATTAATCCACGAGACAGGCACTGCAGAGGTAGTGTTAGTTTCTCTGTTCACGTACGTTGCTAAGGCCTTGACGAGGAAGAAAGGAAGGAAGGAAGGATTTAGTTTAGTCTGTGCCTCTCCACATTTTGGCCTCTCTCATAAACACACTGGCAAAGCTATCAGCACTAACATCTGGATTGTATGTTCAGTGACAGGGACTGTACCCAACAGGAACTATGTTAGACTCTCAAGTACCTTTTTGCAAAGACTAATGATGATGGAAACTTTCTTACCCTGCTCCAACAAGCTTTGGTGAAAATCAGTAAGTTGGAACGTGGCTACTCAACACAATACCAGTCCAGTGGTTTAGTCATTACTGGTTTTTTAATCTATCGCTGCAGGTTGCATTAGAGGACTGGCTACTCACAACGTGATTCTCTAAAGAAACACTTTTATCTCTCTGGCTGTTGAGACACACCTGCCCCACTCCTGGTTTTATCTCTTAAACTTATACCCTCCTGCCTCCATACATTCTTACAACAGTCCTGCACCACACCTATGTCAAAAACTGGCCAAACATCAGAGCTGAGAGCACAGCTTAAAAAGGACAAGTCTCACCAAAATTAAATGTCAGTTAAACTTTACTTTGAATCACTAAGCATCAATCTTCATTTTAACCTTCTCTGCTGCAGGGCAGTGCAAACAGAGACAAATCTGAGCTTTAGGGAGGATCCAGCAGTAGGGATCGTGGTTCTGAACAGTCATATTTGACAAGGTCCATGGTACATTTTAAGGAAAACCTGTTCCACCTGAAAACTATAAGGGGGAGGAGAAGGGGAAGCACAAGCAATTCCATACAGTGAAACTTGATGAGATTTATACTGACTTTCTCTTGTTGGTCTTTTTAGAAGTGTCCCATATAACATCTCCTTCCACGCACATTCTTCTACGAAGGTTACCTGGTTTATCCCCTGTTCCAGAGAAGGATCACTCACCATTGTCATTCCTAGCTGATATTTGTCTATTCCTTAAAAACAAGCACAGAAATTCCAGAGCTCAAATAGGATTTCTGTTCCAGTGCTTCGTATCTTTAAATTTGAAGGATAGAAAATGTTAGTTAATCTTTTTCCTTGTATCAAATTTTCCCTGCTGCAATCTAAGTCCATTTTGCTTTAGCAACTGTATTCCCACCTATCCACAATGGAAAAACAGTGTAGTTTCCCCTCTCCCATCCTTCAACGCTCAGAAGTTCTGTTGTTATTTTGACGTTAATTTGCAGATGTGCAAACCAGAAATATATATATCTACATATTACTACAGGGTTTTAAAAAAAGAGAAATAACTTCTATAAAAATACAATCAAGCAAATAAAATTGTAGGATAGCTTTTGTGTTAAATCAACAGCAACAAAAAAATCCTCCATAAGAATATAATTGGAGTAATACTGACCTGGAGAGGAAGTAATAGCAAGATCAAATTTAGGATTCAAGATGCATTAAGTGAGAGATAGTCAGTCATTACTAGGCACTCATCAGTCTCATCATCCAGTATTCAGAAAAGAATATTTCCATAGATAGCTGCATTCCACCACTACCTGAAAGAAAAAGTTGGCTGAACGTTTTGCTATTAATGATCAAAAAGAGACATGATTGTTTTTCTGCTTTGAAAAAGAATCTTTTTTTACTTCTATCGTTATAATCTCTTAATTAATTCAATGCAATGAGTGCCTTAATTAGCTAGTTCTTCTATTTATTTAATTAATTTACCAAGTACCTGTTTTCCTTAAAAAGTTTCTAGACTATAAAGGCCTTAAAGCACGGTCATATCTGCAAGATTAATACATATAATGCATATCCAAGCATGTACTGGAGCTTATAGATAATATTTAGAAAATATGTATTTCTAATTATAGTTCAAATCCATTTCCTACCTGTTTGAAGAATATTAATAAAAACAGGGTTTATATTTCTTTGTTTGAACGAACATTCAGTTACAATTCCGGTTTATTTGTTCAGACTGCTGACATTTCCATGGTCTTTTATTAAAGACCTGATTAACCTGCAGAAGGAGCACAATGTTTGTACAGAGCTTATGTTCTCTAAGCCCACTTCACACCCACATATTGCCTTCTGTTATGGGAACACTGGTAATGTCAGCATCCAGCATCATATGGCAGCCCCTTTAGAGCCCTGACCCCTTTGTCAATACAGCATAATTTATAACACCAAGAACCAGAATTTGAGCAACTGAGCATTCACCTGAGCCTCTGGTCAGTGGCAGTGCAACCAGTAGGTTCTGAGCACGCACAAAATCTTTTGGCTGTGCAGCTCACACCTTTTCCCACACTCATCTGCTGCGCTGGGATCCAGTGTCTGTCACAATTACCATTCTCAAAGTAGGCTTATTTCTAGACCAAATACAATAACTGAAGCCCTCTGCCCATCATGTCTGAGATGTGCTGAGGATAACACTCCCCTTCCAGAGCTAATCACTGCTTCCCTTTGTTACATGTCAAAGTGAAAGCACTGTCTGCTGGGATGCACAGGCAAGGAAAATGCAACTAAGGACACTTAGCTAGTGAATTGTTGAAGTAAGCTGTCAGAAAGATATTGCATCAAATCAAAAACCTGCTGGTGCTCAAGACATCTAATGAAATCCAATACTTTGCAAATTCTGTGTACCTTTTCTTGTTATCTGATGATTACAAGATTTAGAAACACAGTATTTAATCACCAGATCAGCAATTTTATCTAAGTCAAATGATCAACAGTAAGAGATCCTAAATTCAGAGTGGATTTATTAACGTTATGCAATACCACAAAGTCCACACTTCAAATGCAGGATTGGTACCAAGTTACAAAATGCAAGAGATGACCCTACTGAAGATACTATGAAGTATTTTAAGACCCGGTGAAGCTAAAGGGAAACAATAGCAAGGAGACACAACAGAGAGAGAGTACTCAGAATTACATTATCACTAAGCCAAAGTTAATTGCAAGCCTGAACTGATTAAGCTTTCTCTAAACAACACCTTAACTTAGCAATCTATTTTGCACAGGCTAAATCACACACATCAATGCTGATTTAAAGAAAGCAGTCAAGACTTTCATTTTCTTGGGCTGGCTGCAAACTGTTTGCCTTTCACTTGTGTATGATGTTTACGTTATTTCCCAAATTTGTATTTTCTAGGAAAATGAAGCTGGAAACATATCACTTGATCATAGAATCATTTAAGTTGGAAGGGACCTTCAAAGGTCAACTCCCTTAAGTCCAACTCCCCTGCAATGAACAGGGGCATCTACAGCTCAATCAGGTGCTCAGAGCTCCACCCAAACTGACTCTGAATGTTTTCAGGGACGTGACACCCACTAAACCCCAAGCAACCTGCTCCATTCCCAGTGAATACATACATCTAAAGGCATTTCAAAAGCTGGATCCAACATCTCAAATTATAAAATACCCCCCCCCTACCCCTCCCCAAAGAAAGTTGGTAAAAATTTCACACTGTGTTTTTTTAAACACCATCTTGGAAAATGCTAGACCTAAGATACATCAGATATTAAACCACAGCTAAACTTGATCTCAGCCAAAGGGCATTTGCCTGTCTTCAGTTCTGAGTAACATCTATATCAGATTGGCACTCACAGACCATACAGTGACCTTTCTAAAATTCATTTTTAATGTTTGGTTTTATGGGAGCAAGTATAAACTGCATCCCAGATGCTGCCTTTAAAGGAGTGCCTTTGTAACACAAAAGAGAAGATGGGAGGAAGGACCTTGTGAGGCCATACTTGTAACTCAAAAGAAAACAGGGTGTCCATATTACTTTAAAAAGCTTAAAAATCCCTCAATGATTAAAAAAAAAAAAGGGGGGGGGGGGGGGGGGGGCTAGCTATCTTCACAGATAATTACCTTAAAAAAAAACCACCAACAACAAACCAGCTGGATATAAGCTATGGCATGACGGTATGTTGAGTACTTGTGAATCTGGGAATAAAAATGGAAGGGTTCACACAATTTGATAGGATTCATTACTGAAAAGGTTTTTGTTTTTATTAAAGAACGATGTTCTTCCAGTCCTTGCTGACAACACTGAAAATTACAGAAATAGCAGAGCAGCTATCATAGATTTCTTGAACAGGGCAGGATATTTTGTGGCACTATGAAAAGGCTTTTTTTCCCAGCTGGTTTTAAATGATACCAAATATAAAATCCTTTGGACTTTAATCATCCCGGCAAAGGAGAGAAGGGTCAGGAGAGTTTAATATCTGAGTCTTTATCTGGATGCTCTCTGTTCTACTGATGCAGGAAAACGTCTGTTTCAATCTAGCAACTTTTCCATTTCTAAATTCTGCTCTCAGAGCAACAAAACAACAGCATTCCTCGGCTCAATCATGAAACGAGGCTTTAAGAAATGCAATAGCAAACCTTGAAGGGTGAATATTAAAGCTACCTTCTTCTCTGTGCAGCCAGAGTTGCAGTCAAACACGTATGAGTTCTGCTGACAGTGCCTTCATGCTGGCTCTGAGGGACAGCAAGTGAAATAACATTAAGAAATATCTGTAGGCTTGTCATGTGCTAATATCCTTTTGATAACGCGAACTGTTAATCCTAACCCAGGTAAAGAGAAGAAAAGAAATTGGGTTCTTATCTTAAAGAGTCCACATTGGCCAGATGAACATTTCAAGGTCATCCAATATTGCTATAAACAAAACAAACCTATTGGCTCTATTATATTGCTAAAATCCCATTTGACCGGCAACATTTTCACCAAACACAAGCAATTTATTTTTGTTTTAAGCTTTAATTAACTATTATAGATTGAAGTGAAATAATTAATAACTTTAAAGTACACTGACCCAGAGAGCCAATACCTCAATCAGGTGAAGCCTGGGGAAAGGGAATGCATGAAATGAAATAAAATCATTCTGTCCTCTCAATCTCACCCAGTAAATCAAATAAAAGAATTTCTATTAATTGGCAGTGAGTCTATGTCTAGTCTGACTGCTGACACAGTTAACCATAGTAATAAAAAACATTTCTGTGGGAAG